GTGGGGATGGCTCTGTCCCTGCCCTGGCCTTATTCCTGTCCTCTTAATCCCCCAGAGCTTCTCCTGCTCTCCGTGAGGGAGGAGCTGGAACATCCCACTCTGCCCTCCCTCTGGTGCTGGCTCCCAGGGAACAGGAGGGCTGAGCGGTGCTGGGACACCTCTGAGGATCGTGGAACGCTTTGGGTGGGAAGGGACCTTAAAGCCCCCTCAGTGCCACCCCCTGCCATGGGCAGGGACACCTTCCACTGGCCCAGGTTGCTCCAAGCCCTGTCCAACCTTTGGCACCTGGGATGGGGCTCATCCCACCCCGTGGTTGATGCAATCGCTCCCACGTCTTGCGGAGCAGTTCCCAGGCCGTGGCGGGGCTGCCTCGGGGTTACGTGGATCTACGTGGATCTACGTGGATCTACGTGGGTCCTGCCCCGTGCCAGGAGCTCCATTAGTGACCTGCTGGGGCTGGGCCTCGCTGGCCTCTGCTGGAGCAGCTGCGGCTGTTTGGGGTTGTGGCGTCGGCACCGAGCGCTCTTGGCAGGAGCTCCTGGCCCCGGGCAGGCTGTGTGGCCTCGTGCCTGGTGCCTTTGCAAGGAGCCACCTCGGTGACTCCAGGCAGGGCTTTGGAGCACGGAGGGTTTTAGGGTGCTTTAAAACTGCTGAATTTGTCAGTGATTTCTGCGCTGAGGCAGCGAGAAGCTCTCAGCTAATGATGATTCAAAGCAGGGATGAGGCTGAGCCCGTCTGGGGGGAGCTGGAAAGTCACTGGTGGTGGGAAATGAACATTTTGGAAATAATTTGATGTGTCTGAAGTAGTTGAATGTTTCTGAAGTGACCCCCCGCCCTGTCCTGGCCGAGCTGACACCTTTGGGGCTGGTGACACAGCTGGGGGGAGGGAAGGGTGAAGCACATCTTGCTCCTGTGGTGAGGACTTAGAATCAAAGGATCATGGAATGGTTTGGGTGGGAAGGGACCTTAAAGCCCATCCAGTCCCAGCCCCTACCAGGGGCAGGGACACCTTCCATTGGCCCAGGTTGCTCTAAGCCCTGTCCAACCTGCCCTTGGACACTTCCAGGGATGGGGCAGCCAACGTTGAGCTGTGTTGGCTGAGCTCTGTGTTCCCCTGGATGATATCATCCCGAATTTCCGAGGTTTGGGCTGTGGGAGTCGTGTCTGAGCCTGCAGAGGCCCCCCTGTT